ATTTAAAAATACCCTGGTTAGACGAAAAAAAAGGTTAGCCTGTCAAGAACCTTAAACCCTGTACAAACTTCTAAACCACCCATTTGAAGGGTCCCTCCCATGCCTTACAACATTGTGTTTGCCTTCATTTCTTAATCTGTAAAAACCCCCTTGTGGCCTTAATTCATATCTACTGGTTCGGGAGTTTTCTGTCCAGTCGGAAGCGACTTCTTGCCTTTTTCACAAATTGTTTTTGAAACACTATCCCCTGCAATTCTTTTCCCTTGATCCACCAGCAACAACTTCTAAACCTGATGTTGTTGTGGTTTTTTTTTTGGTTAGCTGTTAACACTTTAGAAACATCAGCTTCCTTGATTTTTTCTTTCTTTGCCGGATAAAAAGTTGGCATTGTTTCCCCCCCCCTCATCAATTCTGTATTATTTCCTTCTTCACATTATGGTGTTTCTCATTTTCTTTCCCACGGGGTACCATAGAAATTTTTTTTGGGGCCCCATGGTAGCTTATTTCACGCCCCACAAGCACTAAACACAATGAATTAATTGTAAAAATGTTTGATGAGAGCGCGGGTTTAGTGTTCCCCAAGCATCAACAAAGCCGATGGTTCCGGCGCCTAACAGGGAGCGGACAGAGTGGGTGGCGGACAGGCCCGGTCCCTGGTGGTTCGAAAATGGGGGCGGTAAAAATAGGGAAAAAGTTGTTAGAAAAAAAGGGTCGTTTTTTTAAAGGATTTCAAAAAAGCGTAGTTAAAAAATTTGATGTTCCACTGTAATAAAAAGTATTTTAGGCCCCAGCAATGTTTTGGATACACGGAGTAAAGAAAAAGAAGGGGAAAAAAGGAAAAAAGTTACCTAAAAGCAATGCATAGACAAGGCAGTGCAAGCATCGGGGGCGTTTTTTAAGATGAGAAAAGCTGACTTTTTAGGGTGCCAGCGAGGGTGCAGAGTGGATAAAGGATAAATTTTTATTGGCACCACGAGGGTGCGAGCTGGTTTCTCTGTCCTGATTATCTGTCTCTCGTCTTGTCTCTCTATTGTTTCTCTCTCCATTCTCTGCTTGTCTCCTTTTATTCAGAGGAGCACTGTAAACCCAACAGGTATTCTTATGATTTTATCTAAAAGACATTATAGCACTTCAGATTTTTGGTTTCTAGGAAATTTCATATGTTTAATTGTATTTGTATGTACCTGTGAGATGGAAAAAGGAGACAGACGATAGAGTAGTGAAGATAAGCAGGTAGACAGACCTAAATTGCGGTTAACATCATTTTCCCTCTTAAAAAGGGAGTGTTTAAAAGGGAAATTTAAAAGGAATCCTTGGTGTTTGCTGCTTGTTTTCCTAGCTGGGCCCCAGTTTAACTGGTGCTCCCACAAGGTATATGGGCCCGATTTTTTTTAATATGGTGTTTTTACGGTGTTAAGACCCCTTCTATGTGACAGGATTTAGGCCCAATCATGCCAAAAATTTTGGGGGCAGAAAATAAAACTATATATACCCGGGAGACCTGGGAGTGATCATGCGGGGGATTCCTTCAAGGCCCATAACATTGTATAAATCGCATCTATAGAAAAAATGACAGGATGGAATGAGAACCTTTAAAACTAGGAAAGCCAAGCCCATGATGAAATCTTCAGGTCCTTTTTTTCTGGTGGAATATTGTGCAACTAACACACCTTTCAAGGCAGGGGAAATTGCTGACCCCAGAAAATGTACAGAGAACCTTACGGGGCTAGGAGATTTAAAATCTCAAATTTCTGGGGGCGCTTTTAAGTTCCCGAACTGTATCCCCGGAATTAAGGCGGGGAGATTTTGATTTTATAATCTGGAAAATTTAGAGGGACTAGTACCCAACTTGCAACGAAAATCTCACAACGAAAGCAAAAGACTGGCAGATGTGCAACATCCCCAATGAAAAGCAAGGGTGTCACTGACGTTAAAAAGCAATACAATAAGTGTCGGGGGTCGAGACTGTTCCTGCCTCCCCGCATACATAAGGGGGTTACCCAAAAAGTACCTGGTGTCTCAAGCAGGGACTGGCAAGCACCCAAAGTCGGGACCTGGGGCCAGCCCGGGGTGTGGTCGTATGTTGGTTGCGTGCAGCCAGCGTAAAAGTGGTTTTATCAGGCTCTGTCCCATGAGGGCCTGGTCACAGATGGGGTATGGGGATTGACCCGGAAAATCTCTCCAGGTAAAATCCGGCAATACGTTTGGGGGTGTTGGTAAGAAAAGTATTACTTTTATATGTTTGGACGTTGAGAGGTTAATTTTATGTTGGATATTTTAGTTAAGTTTTTCTTTGGTTTATATTTAAAAGTATAGTAATGTTTATTGTTTTCTGGTGATACTTGAGGAGCCCACTGGAATGTGCCACCCTTTTTTTGTCCTAATGTTTCTCTCCATCCCTGGTATACCCTTTTAAATTTAAAAATTGTGCCAGTTCAAACCCCCTTCACTATGTCACACATTGATGCTCAATTATTGTGATACACAAGTCCGCTGGGGCATGTGCCCAGCTTGATGCCCCCCCTGTGTACATTTCTTACTTTTCTCCCCGGATAATTTTTCTATCCGTTTCCCAATAAGAAGGGCCCGTGCACTCACTAGAGTAGAACAGGATGGGTATAAAATTTTCAAAGGGTTCACGAGACGAAGACTTTTATAAAAAAGTTTTAAAATTTTTTGCATTAGGAAATTTTTATCTTTCACCAAAAATTTTACCTTTTAAAAAAAATTATTATTTATTATAATTAGTACCCCTGTGTGTATTATCTAGATTATTTAAAATGTTAATTTTTTAATCTTTTCCAATGATTTATTCAAAATTTTATTCCAAAGATTAAATATTTTTCTTTTATAGCTGTTTACATTTTAACGAAACCCCTATAAAGTTCCGGCCCCTGAAGTCATTAAATACAGTAACTACTGATTAAAAACCTAAAAATTTAAATTTTTTTTACTAGAGGGTGTAACTAAATTAAGGGCAGTAATTTAGTTGCTCATGCATCTTTTTTTTAACTAAGGAGGTATTTTACAGGGAAATTTTAATCAGTGAAGCAGGTGTTTGTAAAAAAAAAATTTTCACCCAAATACCTCGCACACATCATTTCTCGGGGGTGTAACCCCTGCATTTAGGGATCATCACTGCCGTATCCCTTTTTAAGCCAACCATTTGATGTGGGTTTTTAATTTGTGTCTGGGATGTATTTTTTTTTTTCCAAATAATAAAGTTGCTTATATTTTGTCTCATTTTTGTGTTTCGAGGTCAAGCTCTTTAATTATTGCATCATGTCTCAAATTTATTTATAAGAAAAAATGTAGTTCAAAAGAAATGAAATTTGAGTGTGGCCCCCACAAAAAAATGTACTTTTTTTATTTTTTTTTTATATCACACTGGCGATTCCCGTCTTTCCAGAAGGGTGCTTTACACTACAGTTTTTAAACTGCAAATTAACACCCCTCCTTCAGGGTGCAGGCATGTACTTCCCCTCTCCAGGCTCAAGTCCGGCCTGCCCGTTTCCCCGAATCCCTTCATAAATGTTACTTTCTCCATCCAAAAGCCGTCAAGTATTAAAAAAAACCCTTTTTCCCATTTCCCCCTATCAAACACGTCAACTTTCCCGCTGGAAGTCCAAACCCCCCCACCAAAAACCCCTTTACCCCTCTTCCAACCTTTCCCAGGGACCCCCACCCCCCTTCCTTCCCCTACAGATGTACATTCTTGAAATCACTCTGTTTCACTCCCTTTTTCTACATGTCCGAACCACCTCAACAACCCTTCCTCAGCCCTCTGGGCAACAGTTTTGGTAATCCCGCACCTCCTCCTAACTTCCAAACTACGAATTCTTTGCATTTATTCACACCACACATTGCCCTCAGACATGACATCTCCACTGCCTCCAGCCTTCTCCTCGCTGAAAACATTCATCACCCATACTTCACACCCATATAAGAGCGTTGGTAAAACTATACTCTCATATATTCCCCTCTTTGCCTCCAAGGACAAAGTTCTTTGTCTCCACAGACTCTAAGTGCACCACTCACCCTTTTGCCCTCATCAATTCTATGATTCACCTCATCTTTCATAGACCCATCCGCTGACACGTCCACTCCCAAATATCTGAATACGTTCACCTCCTCCATACTCTCTCCCTCCAATCTGATATCCAATCTTTCATCACCTAATCTTTTTGTTATCCTCATAACCTTACTCTTTCCTGTATTCACTTTTAATTTTCTTCTTTTGCACACCCTACCAAATTCATCCATGTACTTAACTAAATACTATATTGTGGCTCTGTTCTGTTTATTAATCACTGTTTAATACTATTAGTAAGTGAAAATGAACAATACCACCTCTAAAATATTAAGTAGATATTGTCAGTAAAAAATAGGCAAAATTAAATACAGAATATTATGGCTGGGGAATTCATCCCATTATAAGATGGGTGTTTGCATGAAAGTAGATTCTGAGTTCTGAACAACTGACTAAGAACAATTTTCAGGAATGAATTAGCATTTTAAGTTGGTGCCCTACAGTACCGTACATTTTTTAACACGCTTCCCATCTCCCACTGAGGCAGGGTGACCCAAAAAGGAAAGAAAGAAATACTTTCACCATCTTTCACACACAAATCACTCTCTGCAGAGACGCTCAGATACGAAAGTTCAGATGTCACGCCAAATAGCAAATATCCCAAACCCCTCCTTTAGAGTACTGGCACTGTACTTCCCACATCAGGATTCAAGGCCAGCTCACCAGTTTTCCTGAATCCCTCCACAAAATATTACCCTGCTCACACTCCAACAACTCATCAAGTCCCAAAATCCATGTCTCCACTCACTCCTATCTAACATACTCACACATGCCTGCTGTATGTCCAAGCATATTCTGTATATATTCTGCATATGTTTTCTTAGTACTCCACTGTTAATTAAATAGTAATCTTTTCTCTGCATTGTAGAAATTAATTTAATAAAATTCCTTAAATAAAAACCAGCTTGGCTCAACAACTGTGTGGGGCACTTTAACCACCGTTATTTCTATATGTATATGGTATATATGACATTGGGGACAATTTTCATCATAACACTTGGTTTTGAAATAGCATACAGTGAGATATGGCTAGGTGGAGAAATGGATGTAGGATTAAGTGATGCCCTGGATTTGGTGACGAATGACAGTACCCCCCAAGAAGAGGATGAGTTAGAAGGCTACCCAGTAATGATCAACGGCACTCACATGATGCCTGTGGTGAGTTGTATTTTTTATAATGCAGTACAGTACAGCCTCTCCTCACTTAATGACAGAGTTCCGTTCGTAAGACCTTGTCAGTAAATGAATTCATCTCTAAGCAAGGAGCATACTATAATGGTAGTGGGTTTGTATCAACCATCTTTGATATTGTTTTAATGTCACCTCTGCACCATTTATAACTTTTTTAGTATATTTTTAAATGATTGTACAGTAGTGTACTGTATATTGTAATAAACAGATTACAGGAAACCAATTCTAATATACATTATTTAGGTATGCATGTTGGTCAGAGAGCCCGTTGTAAGTCTGAGTCGTCAGTAAATGAGCACGTCACTAAGTGAGGAGAGCTTGTATATTATACTTAAGTTTGGATTAACCCCTTTCAGGCTCCAGAGGCCAAATCTCAAAGGGTACACCAGGTTCCAAGAATTTTTGAAAAAAAAAAAATTATTTTTTGTTACAGAATTAAAGATAATAATTTTCTGTATGTAATAAAACAATATTTTTTTTTTCAGTCAGTAGTTACTGAGATATAAAGGCATGAAGTTGACCCTCAGTGATCTGGTGGTGGCAACATCTGGGACTCTCATAAAGTCTCATTATTTTATTTTAGGTTTTTGTTTTTGTGGCCTGTGAGACAATTTTTTTTTTTTTTCAACAAACCGGCTGTATCCCACCAAGGCAGGGTGGCCCGAAAAGAAAAACAAAAGTTTCTCATTTTAAATTTAATAATTTATACAGGAGAAGGGGTTACTAGCCCCTTGCTCCCGGGATTTTAGTCACCTCTTATAACACACATGGCTTACGGAGGAAGAATTCTGTTCCACTTCCCCATGGAGGTAAGAGGAAATAAACAAGAACAAGAACTAGAAAGAAAATAGAAGAAAACTCAGAGGGGTGTGTATATATATGCTTGTACACGTATGTGTAGTGTGACCTAAATGTAAGTAGAAGTAGCAAGACGTACCTGAAATCTTGCATGTTTATGGGAGCAAAACAAAAAGACACCAGCAATCCTACCATCATGCAAAACAATTACAGGTTTCCATTTTACACTCACTTGGCAGGACGGTAGAACCTCCCTGGGCGGTTGCTGTCTACCAACCTACTGCCTACAAAATAAAATGTATAATGTATAAATATACACTCATTGTATTCAACACAGTAACTGCACTAATTTGTTTATCATTATATTGCTTACAAAACTCATTTACAAGTTTATTGTAAACAAAATAATGATGAAAATATTAGTGCGGCTGTGTTGAATACAACGGTATCATGTACCATATGGTACAATGGTACCATAGGGTGCAATGGTACCATATGGTACAATGTACCATAGGGTGCAATGGTACCATATGGTACAATGTACCATAGGGTGCAATGGTACTATATGGTACAATGTACCATAGGGTGCAATGGTACCATATGGTACAATGTACCATAGGGTGCAATGGTACCATATTGTACAATGTGCAATAGGGTGCAATGGTACCATATGGTACAATGTGCAATAGGGTGCAATGGTACCATATGGTACAATGTACCATATGCTACAGTGGTACCATATGGCACAATGGTACTATATGGTACAATGGTACCATATGGTGCAGTGGTACCATATGGTACAGTGATACATGGTACAATGTACCATATTGTAACATGTATCATTGTACCATATGGTACTGTATGGTACTGTTGTATTCAACACAACCACACTAATATTTTTATCATTATTTTGTTTACAATAATTGTTTGAATAACTGAGACAATTACCTCATATCCGACATAGACAAGGATGTCAGCCACAGCACCGTGTCTTCCTTTGCAGATGACACCCGAATCTGCATGACAGTGTCTTCCATTGCAGACACTGCAAGGCTCCAGGCGGACATCAACCAAATCTTTCAGTGGGCTGCAGAAAACAATATGAAGTTCAACGATGAGAAATTTAAATTACTCAGATATGGTAAACATGAGGAAATTAAATCTTCATCAGAGTACAAACAAATTCTGGCCACAAAATAGAGCGAAACACCAACGTCAAAGACTGGGAGTGATCATGTCGGAGGATCTCACCTTCAAGGACCATAACATTGTATCAATCGCATCTGCTAGAAAAATGACAGGATGGATAATGAGAACCTTCAAAACTAGGGAGGCCAAGCCCATGATGACACTCTTCAGGTAACTTGTTCTATCTAGGCTGGAATATTGCTGCACACTAACAGCACCTTTCAAGGCAGGTGAAATTGCTGACCTAGAAAATGTACAGAGAACTTTCACGGCACGCATAACGGAGATAAAACACCTCAATTACTGGGAGCGCTTGAGGTTCCTAAACCTGTATTCTCTGGAATGCAGGAGGGAGAGATACATGATTATATACACCTGGAAAATCCTAGAGGGACTAGTACCGAACTTGCACACGAAAATCACTCACTACGAAAGCAAAAGACTTGGCAGACGATGCACCATCCCCCCAATGAAAAGCAGGGGTGTCACTAGCACGTTAAGAGACCATACAATAAGTGTCAGGGGCCCGAGACTGTTCAACTGCCTCCCAGCACACATAAGGGGGATTACCAACAGACCCCTGGCAGTCTTCAAGCTGGCACTGGACAAGCACCTAAAGTCAGTTCCTGATCAGCCGGGCTGTGGCTCGTATGTTGGTTTGCGTGCAGCCAGCAGCAACAGCCTGGTTGATCAGGCTCTGATCCACCAGGAGGCCTGGTCACAGACCGGGCCGCGGGGGCGTTGACCCCCGGAACTCTCTTCAGGTAAACTCCAGGTATGGGAATCTTACATCTGTCAGACATGGCATCATCATGGTATCTTGATACAAAGAATTCTTCAAAACTTGTCCAATCTTTGGATGAAGACCTACTTAGACTATTGGATGGTTCCACTATGACCTCGCCTCCTCCTGCTTCGCCTCGCCTGACTACAGTATATAAGCCACTGCTTCGGCCCTTTGCTGTACTTTCTACAAGATTGATGGACTGAACACATTGACTCCAGGCTGAGGGACTGATTACCTCAAATTCCTCCTCCTTATACCTTCCTGCTTTGTATAAGACTGATGAAGCCACCGTGTAGCGAAACGTTTCTTCAACAAAGATTCCCATATGTTGCATAAGTGTCTCAATTCTTCAACTTGTCGGTTTTCTAAACCACTCATCACACAATAATTGTTTACAACAAAAAATGCAAAAATGTTGTACTATATGTATTAGTAATTTTTATTAGATATTTTTACATGTGTACAGCCACTGGACATATTCCTAGTACCATATAGTACTAGGGTACCATATGGTACCCTGTAACATGTGATACCCTGTACCACATGGCCAGTAGGTGGTGTTGGTGCCACGAGGCTCCAGCCAGGACTGAGTGAGCGAGTGTGAGACACAAGCCGCTGACTCATCTGTTTCCAGGACAATGCGCTTCATCATCCACCTCTAGCAACATGTCCAGTGGCTGTACACATGTAAAAATATATAATAGAACATTACTAATACGTATACAACATTTTTTGCATTTTTTGTTGTAAACAATTATTGTAAACAAAATAATGATGAAAATATTAGTGCAGTACCATATGGTGCAGGATAGCATATTGTACAGGGTACCATATGGTACCAGACCCATTCTCTTAGATTTATTTATTTATTTATTTATTAGTTTGAACATGATACAGTGAAGTACAAAGGAATACAGTTATTACAGTGCAACATGCCAAAGCCCCTTGTATGCAGAGCATTATGGGCAGGCTTAAAATTAACTTAAGATTAACTAAGCAATGATATATTCAGTGGTAAAAATATAATTGTAAACAGATAACAATTTAGCACAAATGAGTATTACAAAGACAGGTCATATGGTTATTTACTGTGTTGGGGAGCATTCAGTAGAATGGGGTATTCTGTTCGGTAATGTAATTAAAAATTAAAGTTTGATTGGGTCACAGGTTAGACATTTTATGAGATACGATAATGAGAAACATTTATGAGATGCAATTTATGAAATACAATTATTCAGTATTTATTTAGTTGTGGGTGAGTAAGTGATTTTTGAGAAGAGACTTGAATTTATAAACAGACAGTGTTTCTTTTATATTCACAGGTAATGAATTCTAGATTTTAGGGCCTTTCATGTGCATTAAGTTTTTGCATAGCGTGAGATGGACACGAGGAACATCAAAGAGTGATCTGTGCCTTGTGTTTTGGTCATGTGTTCTGTTGAGGTTGGTAAGGAGACATTTGAGGGGAGGGTTTATGTCAGGGTTAAGTGTTCTATGTATGTAGTAGGTGCAGTAATAAGTATGGCTGTTTTGTATGGTGAGTAGGTTTAGAGTTTTGAATATTGGTGGAGTGTGCTGCCTGTAGTGGGAATTTGTTATCATTCTGATTGCAGCCTTTTGTTGGGTAATTAATGGTCTGAGATGGTTTATTGTTGTTGAGCCCCATGTACAAATTCTATAGGTGAGATAGGGGTAAATAAGTGAGTGATATAGGGCCAGGAGGGCTGACTGTGGAACATAGTACCATATCTTCGATAGTATGCCTATGGTCTTGGAATTTTTTTTGGAAATTTGTTGTATATGTGTTTGAAATTTGAGTCTATTATCAAGGTGGATTCCTAAGAATTTTCCCTCTGTGAATTTTGTGATAGGTGATCCGTTTATCATTATGTTAAGAGGGACGTCTGTTGCTCTGTTACCAAACTGAATGAAGTAGGTTTTGTCAATGTTTAGAGTAAGTTTGTTAGTCCTCATCCAGGTAGATATTTTCTGTAATTTGGTATTTACAGTATTGGCTAGCGTGACTGGGCTCGGGTGAGAGAAGACGTATGTAGTGTCATCTGCAAATAGTGTGGGTTTGAGTAGTTGCAATGCATTTGGTAGGTCATTTATGTATATGAGAAAGAGAAGAGGGCCTATGACACTTCCCTGTGGGACACCAACTGTAATTGGCTGTGTGGAAGAGTTTGCCCCA